TCTTCTTCTTCTGCAACCTCAGAACTCTTCACAACCTTTGCTTTTCCCTTCTCCCTCTTTTTCTTCCTGCTCTCTTCCAGAACTTTCTGTAATTCTGCTTCACTTTGTTTGACCCTGCTCCTGGTAGCTCTTCCCTTAGGTACTGAAGGTACAGTAGGTTTTGGGGATGACATTTTGCTTTTCTTTGTTGGCTTGGAAGCAGTTGGAGCCTTTTGTGTGGAAGCTTTATGCTTCTTTGGATCACAACTGGCCCCAACCTTCTTTAGAAGATCAGCCAGAGTCTCCTCAGCAGATGAACCAGGTTCATCTTGTTGCTTGCTTAAAATAACAAGCCCTTCAGCCGCCTCCCCAGAACTACTTCCCCCTGACTTGTTGCCACCTTCTTCAACACCTCCACATATAGCCAATACTTTTTCTTTCTTATTTCCCCTCACATCACCACTGACTCCCTTTCTCTCTTTTTCTTTCTTTTTACCTCATCTTCCACTAGAATCAGCCCCCTTTACATCTTTAACAGGACCAACCAAGACAAACCTATTTTCTACACTTTCAACAACATCAGAGAATACCAAGCAAGAATTTACCTCACCAGGAGTTTCTTGAATATTTTCAGTGTCAGATGACCCATGTCCTTCTCCTTCGCTGGCAGAAATAAAATCATCAGACGCAGAGCTTGAGTCAGATTCTTGAGCATGACTTTCCTTCCTCTGACTAGCCTTCAATTCCTCACTTAGAGCTTTCCTTAAAGCTCCAGAGGCTACAGTTTTTCTAGCTAGCATTTTCTGCCTGTGAAACCTAGGTTTTGGGTTTTCAATAAGAGGAGTAGATGAGGATGTGTTAGAGGGAGATGCTGGTGGGGGAGTGCCAGGATTATCTTGGGGTTTAGACATGGTTCTTCGACTATGGAGGAGTTTTGGGAATTTCTGAGAAGAAAGAAGATTTGGGATTTCTGGACAAGAAGAGGGCGATCAGAACTGGAGAAGAGTTTTGATGGTTATGGACTAATGAAGGAGGGGTGTGGTGTATTTAAAGGTGATTAGACTTAAAAGCAGTAATGGCAGCTTTTCAGAGGTCAAGTAGAAGTCTAATCAAGGTGTAATTCCGGTCTCTTAGTGATTATTANTCATGTGCATGACACATTGTCTTAACTGCCCCAACTGCCCCTTTGTAAAACTGCCATGGGCAGCCCCCTTTTTATGTATGTATTTCGTTTGGCATTGGCAAGTAGCATATTGTGAGCCATGTTAAACGTGAGTCCTTTTCTAATTCTGCGAGAATAATAAAGGTTGGGTATTTTACCCGTAATTCTTTGTATTCTTAAGTTTGGCTAAAGTCTGAAAATTCTAAGTGTCAGGCTGTGTGTGCGAAAAGTTAGGCTGAGTAGCTGTGTGATTGCTACTGCCGTGCAGTGTTAATATTTGCAAAAAATTGGCCCTGTAACACCAAGCACCCCTCCACGCGCCGCGACTATAGTGTTTTCTCAGAGTGAAGTTCAAACATCAATTTTTGATGTCCAGGCTTGGTCCTCGACCCCCGAATGCGATCCCCACTTAATCTTTTGGTCCTTTACTCAGTCTTCAAAGCTCCAAATAGCTTGAATTAGCTCCATAGCATCTACATCACTCGAAATCACCCCTACAAGGCATAAACACACAATAAGTGTAAAACACCAGCGATTAAAGCTCAAACGCAATTAAAGTGCAGTGAATAAGAGTGCAATAAGCGAATAAAACACGAGATTATAGCCTACCATCAACACCCCATACTTAAACCATTTCGCGTCTTCGAGCAATCAAACTACACTTCACATAGACACGACCTACTTAAAAATCTCTCCTAACTCATCATACCCAAACTATTTAAAATAGATTAAGCACAATAACATAAGATCCTCGCCTCAAGATTTGTCTCAAAAGTACCACGCAGTTTTGACAACCTTTTCACTTACTCTAACATAGAGGTCAATGAAATTACCTTTCCTTCATGAATCAAGTGCCCTCACAACAATAGAGAGTAGTTCCACATTCACGATAAAATTCAAAAACACTTAGGAACTCAAGATAGAAAGAATTCGCTCACACCCAAAAACAACAATCATATGCCACAAATGATGAACCATAGGCTTGCCCGTAGTGTACTACTCTACTAATTGAGTTCACTCAGTCAAGGATCAAGTAGGACTTTAACTGGTTGTACTATAGGTTGCAGGACGGTAGGATACAATTATATAAGAGTGACTACACCTCCCTAATCAGTTTAGTACATACATTTTACCTTTCAAAACCCCACACTTATGTCAAACCATAACTCCACATTCACATCAATATACATTAACTTCCTACTTCTTTAAGAACAAATACATCAAGAGTTACCACTATAAAGGACTATTTTTCACAACAACACAACTATTTTTCTTTTTCTTTTCTTATTCAATTCAAGTGGCTATTACTTTTTCAAAACAGTGCACCTTTCTCCTTATTTCAATAGTTCCACTCAAAAGCCAAACCAACCACCTACACTTCAACTTCTGCAAAGTTTATAACAAATTCAAGTGCTCACGAGAGGTGAAAAGGTTCAAATAGATGGTCAATTCAAACAAATGGGTAAGGTTTGTAATACGGTTGCCAAAGAAACAGGGTTATAGGCTCAAAGGGGTTAACTAAGATACATAACAATTAGATAGGTAAAACATATATCTGGCTCAACAAAGAAATGCCTACATCACTTCCAAGACTGAATAAAAGTACTATTTTGCTTTGCAAACACACGGGGAAAGTTCTAGACATCAAATGCAATGCATAGAATACACATAACCTTACACACACATGGCACATAACTCACTCAGGATAGGACTCATCAAGACACTCTAGTCAAAGCAGTTAGGCAAAGTTAAGATCGTACAATTTAAGTTACTCATAAAAGAGTCAAATTTTGAGCCTAAGCGTCACAACTAAAGCACACAGTATTCTCAAGGTATAACAAAGTCAAGAAATATTGCTTCCATCTCAAATCATAGCACAATGTTTCCTACTCCTAACCAAAAATAAAAACTAACTACACCCGGTTCAAACAAAATCCTTGGAAAAGAACCACGACACAAAGAAAAATCAAGGGGAAATTATTACACTACCTAACAAAAGAAGATCTTTTTGTCTTATTTCTTCAATTTCATTCCCTCAAGAAACCTGTCGATGATATCCATCATCGGGAAAAGTTGACAATTTTATGTTTTTTCTTCATTTTTTCTATATCTAACTACTGAAAAGCAAAACCAAAACTAATATACATATATACAAATATCCGTCACCCCACACTTTAAGTTGTGGCATGTCCCCATGGAACACAATTAAAAAGCATAATGTAGAAGAAACTCCCTGAATATCTAGTCGGGGTTTGAGTCGAAGTCGGGCTCCATTCCTCGAGCCCGAACTAATGCACACATCCATGCAGGCAGCTTCTTCTCAACCTTCTGGGGTAGAGCCCAAACTTATCTTTTTCATTCACTGCAGCCTTCTCTTATGACCCCTTCACTTTCCACTTAACACTAGCAGTTGGTTTTTCTTACTGTGCCCCTTTTCTACATCCATCTTGAACGTCACAGTCTCTTCTCCCACTCCAAGCATGAGTTTTCTTTCTTTAATATCTAAAATAGCTCTTCCCATTGCTAAGAATGGTCTTCCTAGTATGAGGGGGACCTCCTTATTCTCCTCCATCTTCACCACTATAAAATCTATAGGGAATACGAACTTATCCACCCGAACTAAGACATTTTCCACTATCCTCTCGGGTATTAAAGTCGTTTGGTCTGCCAGCTGCAAAGATATTGGTGCAGACCTTATCTCTCCGATCTCCTTCTTTAGTTTCCTACAAATAGATAGAGCCATTAAGTTAATTGATGCACCAGAATCACATATACTTATTAAAATTTTTGGTTCCTAATGAGCAAGGTATAGTAAAACTCCCTGGATCTCCACACTTTTGTGGGAGTTTATTTTTGCAATAGCTGCAATGCTCTGTGAGCTTAACCACTGAGGTCTCCTCTGTTTTCCTCTTCTTTGTTAGGATCTCTTTCAAGAATTTAGCATAAGCTGGCATTTGTGAGAGTACTTCTGTGAATGGTAAGTTCACATTAACCTGTTTCAGCATATCCAGTAATCTCTCAAACCGCTTGTCTTGCTTTTCTCTAAATAGCTTTTGAGGGAAGGGTAAAGCAGGCATATGTTCACTCACATCATGTTTCTCCTTTATCGAATTCTCTTCCTTCTTCTTTTTCTCAGCACCCTTCTTTCCATTATTCTTCTTATCATCATTACTTTTCAGCTTCTCCCCACTTTCTTTTTTTAGTATCATATCTTTTTGGATCGAGGTGGGATCTTTCAACACTTGCCCACTTCTCAAAGTCACAACATTCACTATTTCCTTGGGATTTCTTTCAGTATCAGTTGGGAGAGTTCCTGGAATCCTCTCAGATAATATTGTTACAATTTTCCCCCATTTGCTTCTCTAAATTTCAAATTACTGCCCTTGTACTTCAAATCTTTCATCAGTTTTAACAATTAAGGCCTTCATTAAACCTTCTAGACCGGGTTGATTGGGCTGTTGAGACTAAAACTGCTGCCTCGGTTGATTTGTAAAACCAAGAGCTCCTTGTCTCTAAAATCTTGGGTTGTTTTGTTGCCATGCATTTGCGGTATCCCCAGGTAAACTCCATGAAAAAATGGGGTGCTTCTGACCCATTGCATTAAAATTGGAATTCCCCACAGCATTTACTTACTCGGTTGAGGTTTGACACTCATGAGTAAGGTGTCTTCTTCCACACGCTGGATAAGGCTCACTTTGTATTGTAGCCAAGGTCAGCTTCTATGTTTCTTTAGCCATAGCATCAAGTTGTACCTGCACAGATGTATTAGCATTAACTTGGTGAACACTATTTGATCTTTTTCTTTCAGCACTCTCAGAGGGCCAGTAATTTTCATCATTAGATAACTCATCAAGAATTGTGACTATCTCCTCTGGAGTCTTCTTCATCAACGGGCCTCCATCTGCATGGCTCAATGTTCTATGTGAGGCCGGTGTCAATCCATCCCAAAAGTCCTAGAGTTTTATCTAAAGGTCAACTCCACTATGTTGACACTTTCGAATAATCTCCTTAGACCTCTCCCATGCTTCAAAAATAGTTTCATATTTCTTTCTTGCAGAAATTATGAATTTCTCTTCTAAACATGCCTGTCTTAGCTGATGAGTAATATTTATCAAGAAATTTTCTGGTCATCTCATCCCATGTTCTAATTGATCCCGTGGGAAAGCTTTGAAGCCACTGCTTGGCATCATCTTTGAGTGAGAAGGGGAATGCCCTTAAGTATACTGCATCTTGTGACACACCATTGTATTGAAAGTTGTTCATAACCTCCTCGAAGTCCATTAGATGTGTATTTGAAATTTAATGGTATCGGCCCCGTATCTTGATTCCGAAGCCCGGTACAGGTCTTATATATGATTTAAGTTGAGTCTATAAAGTTTGGTAAGAAACGGACTTGAAATGACGTAAATCGAACCTTATTTGAGAAAATTGGAAAACTTTGATGTTCTTAAGTGATTTCATGATTTTGATGCTAAATTCATAGTTGTAGATGTTATTTTGGTGATTTGAATGCACGAGCGAGTCCGTATGATGTTTTCGGGTTAGTGTGCATGTTTGGTTTGGAGCCCCGAGGGCTCGGGTGAGTCTTGGATAGGCCACGGAGTAAAATTAGACTTAGGAAAATTGCTGGTGTGTAGCGGGCCTCTGATCTCGCATTTGCGAGATCAGGCATCGCAATTGCGATGTAAGCAGAGTTCGCAAATGCGAGAAATTCGTCGCAAATGCGAAGAACCCCGGGCCAGCCTTGTCTCGCATTTGCGAGATACACTTTGCAAATGCGAAGTGTTCATTTTATGCCTGAAGTCGCAAATGCGACACAAGTATCGCAAATGCAGTATTCGCAAATGCGACAGGCCTATCGCAAATGCGAAGAAGGCCGGATAATTGACTTGGTCGCAAATGCGACATTTTGTTCGCAAATGCGAAAGTCTTAGTATTCTGAAGGGTTCGCAATTGCGACATCAGAGACCTATAAATCCACACTTAGACGCATTTTCAACCATTTTTCATATCTTCTAAAAACATAAACACTCTAGGGCGATCTTTCAAAGGCAACTTCTTCTCCAAATCAATTGTAAGTCGTTTCTAACTAGTTTTCTTCAATCCGTAACATCTCTTCACATGACTGCAACTCAAAATCAATAATTTTCATGGGGGAAATTGGGTGTTTTGGGTAGAACCTAGGTTTTTTCTAATTTTGGGGATTTGGACCTCAATTTGAGGTCCGATTTCAAAACAAATCATATATTTAAGTTCGTAAGTGAATGGGTAGTCGGGTTTTGGTTTGAACCTCGGGTATTGAGCATGTGGGCCCGGGGTCGATTTTTGACTTTTTGGGAAAAACTACAGAAAACTTATTTCCACGTGTTAGAATCGATTTATTTAGCATTTATTGATATAATTAAGTAACTTGTGGCTAGATACAAGCGAATTGGTGGTGGAGTCAAGAGGTAAAGCGATAGTTGAGGCTTGAACTGTGTTCGAGGCATCGAAGTAAGTGTTTGGTCTAACCTTAGCTTGAGGGATTAGGAGTTGCGTCCTATTTGCTATGTGCTATTTGTTGAGTACGACGTATAGGCATGGTGACGAATACATTGGTGTCAAGCATGCCCGTGAGTCTTATGTTATGATTAATGTAACTCCATTTGTATTGTTCACGCTTAATGTGATGATTGCTATTGTTGAGCAAGGTTTGTGGAAAGAGTATTGGTATTTGAACAGTGAAGAGCGTTGGCTCAAGTGGTATAGTGATTTGTGGAAGTGTAATTGGCAATTGAACGTTATAGAGCGTTGGCTCAAATTGTGAATCGAGTTGTGAAGTAAATGTGAAAAAAAGAGAAGAGGATTATGACATTGTTCCCTTGCCGGGGTGTTGTTGCTTATAATATTGTACCCTTGCCGGGATGTTGTTGCTTTTAGTATTGTACCCTTGCCGGATGTTGTTGCTTTTAATGTTGTTCCCTTGGCAGGATTTTATGGTGATTCTATTTAATTCCTTGCCCTTATTATTTGTGTTTGTTGTTTGGGTGAGGAAGAGTGTAAAAGCACGAAGGGTGATATCGTGTATGATTTTGTGAGGAAGAGTGTAAAAGCACGAAGGGTGATGCCGCGCCGCACAATGTACCATTCCGTGCCTTTATATGAGTGATTATATGAGGTAAAAGCCCGAAGGGTGATGCCGTGCACTTGTCCTTGATTTTCCTAATTTTACTGGTGATTAAGATATGGTGTTCTTTACGCTTACTTACTGATTTCCTATTGTTACTTGATTTTATTGTTATGTTATCGTTTCCCTTGCTCAAGTTGCTTATGATTGTTGCTTGGGTGAGGAAGAGTGTAAAGCACGAAGGGTGATACTGTGTATTGTTTTGGTGAGAGAGTGTTAAAGCACGAAGGGTGATGTCGTGCATTGTTTTGGTGAGAGAGTGTTAAAGCACGAAGGGTGATGTCGTGCACTTGTCTTTGAATTTCTTGATTTTTATTGATAACTGAGTTATGGTTTCTCTACATTTAATTGTTGGTTTTCTGTTGATACTTGTTGTACCCCGCAGCATGATCCCCCTTCCTATCCTCAATTCAACTGTGGTGATCCTTATATTTATTCGTTGTTCTTCTGTTTTTATTCGATGTCCCTGCAACATGTTTTGCCCCCTCCCATCCTTAGCTGTACATTTCTGCTTGTATTGTTCCGCTGTATATGATTTAACTGCATAGGTTTATTTTGGTAGTCTTGTCCTAGCCTTGTCACTACTTCGCCGAGGTTAGGCTAGGCACTTACCAGCACTTGGGGTCGGTTGTGCTAATACTACACTCTGCGCTCTTTTGTGCAGATCCCAGTGTTGTAGATTTCGGACCGCAGTGAGGCTGCTGCTTCTGGTCCATCAAGCGACCCGAGGTAGTACTGCAGGCGTCCGCAGGCCTTGGCATCTCCTTCTAGCTATTATTCCTGTTTCTTTCTTGTATTTCCAGAGACAGTGTTTTATTATTTCTTTCAGACCTTTATTTGTAGTAATCTTAGACAGTTTGTGAAGTTGTGACACCAGTCTTGGGTAGATTGGTTATGGAATGGTATTAGCAGTGTTATTAAAACTTGAAATTAAGTCTTCCACTTGTTAAATTTTGTTGATTATTAACTGTTGGATTATAATTGTTAACGAATTGAAAAATGGAAACAAGGCAAATAATTCAGTTGATTGGCTTGCCTAGCTTTCACTAGTAGGCGCCATCACGACTCCCGAGGGTGGAAAATCCGGATCGTGACACTCCAGCCATAGTTTCTTTGGTTGAGGATTGCCCAACTTTCTCTAGTGTCTCAGTGATATCATTTTCCTTCCTCAACTGCCGCAGTTGTTTTTCAATTTTTGGCTCGTTTTGTAATAGAAATACGTAGAAGGAAGTGAAAAACTCTTAGAAGAATTCTCCGCCTTGCTCCTAGTGTGTTCTTGCCTCCTTAGGTCAAATTCCCTCTCAAATCTGTCCAATCTCGATCTGTCTCCACTTTCCCCTCTCAATGTGGCATTTTTATGTCTATTTATATATGTAGGGAAAGACCTAAACGTGTAGGTCAAGTCCCAATCAAGCCGGGAAACAAATTAAATCTTCAATACTCGGAATGGACCTCGCCCTAAGCTTGGCGTGCCAGCCTAACGCCAGCCACAACCTAGCTTTTGCCTTGCAGCGCCAGCCTAACGCCAGCCTCAGCTTGGCCTTTGGCTGGCCTCGCCAGTCTAAAGCCTGGTTAAGCTGGCCTTTGCCTAGCCTTGCCAGGTCTCTCCTTTTCACTATTTTTGAGCACACTTTCAACGTTTAAGTATCCTTTTTGCTCTACTTTCATCTCCAATTCACCTACACATAAAATAGACTCCATTACGCGCAAATAAAGTGTAATTTATCACTAAAGCATGTAAAATGCAATCTACATAATGTACGAAACTATGGAATTATGGCCACACATCAAATTTCTTCAATTCAAAAATTAAAAATCCAAACCGAAATTTTCAAATTCAGTTCGAAGTGTTCGAACAGCCATATCTAATGGAAAACACATGTTCCACAAAATACAAAAACCTGCCACATTTCATAAAATGAGTATGATGAAAGTTTGTGAAATTGAAAAGTAAAACTTAAAATACCTACGACAAATAATTTTTACCCATGTTTGTCCCCCCCACGTCCATTACTGTCATTACTACAAAATTTTCAATTTTTGGCTCGTATGGTAGAACTTCTTTTCCAAAAGCTTGAGTCATGCACCACTCTTAACCTCTATAGCCTGTGCACAGTCAAAGAACACTAAACGTAAAAAGAGAAAAAAAAATCCTGAATTAGCACTACAAACTATTTCAAACACTATTGATTACCAATCCCCAGCAACGGTACCAAATTTGACGAACTCAAAACACCAGTTAAAATTATGCTCACTAATCAAATATAGTGTAGTATAAGGCTCCAGCTATACCTCAAAACATGATAATACATACGAAACAAAAGATGCACCATCCCGGAATGAGATGGGGCTCACCAAGTCAGCTGGGAAGAATGAGCACCATTATCACTGGTCAGTATCCTCCGCTTTGGAAACACCTGCATCCATTTAAGATGCAATGCCCCTCCAGCAAAAAGGACGTTAGTACATGTCGAATAGTACTAGTATGAAAACAAAACACCAAATCAAGAACTTGGAAATACAACATGAATATGATGAATCAGGGTGACAATAGATTAGCATAGATAGCCGTTAAATCCAAGGCAAATCTATCAAGATCTGTCAATAACATTTATGAATTATAAGACGAAACCCTCTGTAACCATCTTTTCACAAAGCGGCCCCGCCGCCTCAACCCAATGCATACGGGTGGAGGTGCAAGCACAATATCTACTCAAATGGCCATGCCACCTCACCCCAATGTATGCGAGTGGAGGTGTAACCACAGTACCAAAACCTACACAAAGCGGCCCGGCCGCCTCACCCAAAATATACGGGTGGAGGTGTAGCAATGAAACCAATACGACACAAAACGCCCATGCCGCCTCACCCCAATATACATACGGGTGGTGGTGTAACTACAATACCAAAATCCTACACAAAGCAGCCCTACCGCCTCATCCCAATACATGCGGGTGGAGGTGTAATCCCAATCACAATCTCTACACAATTTTGCATAGTAACTTTCACATGAATCACGACATGGAGTTATGACATGTAGATACACAATCCATAGTTTGGAACACATCCTCATTTAAAAGTACAACATGATAAGAGCATTTGAAACATGAATTGAACATATATCTTTGTCCCAAAACTTATTCGGCATGCTCGATTTATAATAAGCATCTTGGAACTTACAAGGGTCGTGTGGGATTCAATTCTTAAAGAAAAGTTTAATCAACTTACCTCACTCGAGCTTCCTTACACTCTAAAATGTTCCGAAAACCTTAGCAACTTCAATCTATTTTAGAAATTTAACAAATTGAACCATAATTAAGAAGATGATCATGCTTCTAGCTCATTTAAGCATTTTATCAAACACTAGGTGTGCACTAAGGTTTCTAGGTACTTTTATGGAGGACTCCATCATCCCATAACCCATTCTTTACCATTTTTAGCTCAACAATCTTCCTACACACTTTGATAACACATGCATTAAAAATAAACAACTCCCATACCCAAGAATTATCTTCATAATTACCCATGTTTAGTTAAAATTCGAAATTAAGGGCTAGGGTGTAGAATCTTACCTCTAGGATGAAGACCTAGTGAGTTTCCCTTGTAAATCTTCCAATATTTGAGCCAGAATTTAAGAATAAATTGTTGAAGATCACTTTCCCACTCTAGGGCACTCTCTCACTCTAAAAGTATCAGATTTTAGCTCAAAAATGGTCCAATGCGTCTAGTTAACAAAGTAGGG